CTGTTACTCCAACTGGACTTCCTGTAAGAGTGAAACTTTCACTGGTGCCTTAACAACACAGCCTGACCAACGCAACCCCCTACACTGTTTTAACACAGGTCACCTTGGTCTGAATCTCACCCTGTAGGCCTCTGGCCCTGTAGGAACCAACCTACGCTACACTTACTGTAGGTCTCCTAATCTAGGCATTGTGCTTCACTCTGTTCACTTCAGTTGGCCTGAACCTCTAGAATACACAGTTAACCTTTTGACCCTAATTTCCATGGCAGCTCTGTGTGGATGCTATTTATGTCCATAATTGGTGTGGAGGGCTTGGTTGTTCCCCCTCTCTATCTCTCCTTCACCTCCTCTCCCCTTCCACTGTCTGCCCCTACGTCTCCCAAAGTAATGCCACTATTGTGTGAAGGGACCTGACCCATTTAACCACGACTCCCCCCGACATTCCCAAACACATCCATTCCTCTAAAGTGTTTTGTGATATATTCATCCATCCGTTCATCCGTTCATCCATTCATTCATCCAACAGTCCAGGCAGACAGAGGGGGGGGGGGGCTACGGAGAAACAACACATGCGGGTCATGTACAAGGCCGGTCAGCAGCCAGCGCAGGTGGACCTATCCTTGAACCTGTCCGAGTTCAAATAGGGCAGGGAGAGGAGGAGGAGGAGGAGGAGGAGGAGGAGAGCAAGGCTTATACATTACATATACAGTAGGAATAGATGGCATCCATAAAACTGTATGGGATGACATGTTAAGTGTTTCTTTTTATTCTCTGCTCCCGTGTGCTCTCTCACACATGCACAAATGAATGTCATTTTTTTTCCCCATTGAACTTATTCAAAAGCAAGCTAAGACAATGACAGACTAGTAAGCCTTTTGTTTAAAACATATTTTGCTCCGCCAAATCTAAACCCTTCTGTAAACACATTAGTCCAACACATCCACACCTGCACCCCCCCACACACACTGACCAAAACCCTCGCGAGGGAGAGTGTATAAGCCATAAGGGCGTAGACATGCTTGTATGAGTAAGAGGCCATAGGTCAGGTGTATGAGTCAGACACAGGGGATTTATAGATTAACAGCCTGTCCTCAATTAAGTTTCTATTTAACATTTGAGTGGGTGCTATATTAGAGGAAGAGTGATTTTCTGTCAAATATACTGCCTGTTGCAGCATGGCACTTATCAGCATGTTAAAAGGGGTGAAAATAATTCATTGAATTGCTCACGCTGTTTCTTGATTTGGTTTTAATGCATTAAATGTATGTGTAGTTATGTTCAGCCACTGGTATACACTACAACCAAGGAGACGGTTTGTGAGATAGTTTGCTTAGGACCGAGGTCAGATATTAATTCAGTTTTTTTTTTAATCTAAAGAAGCAGGTTCTCTTCTGATGAACACATCTGCTAAACTGGTGACAGCCGAGGTGGCTAAGGAGAGAGAACCTGTCTGTCTGCAGGGCTGCTTAGAATATTTACTCCACTGGGACTACAGCTCTGTCTCTTAGATGAGATTATTACAGTAATTAATCACTGCAATGTGAAGTGATGATTAAAAGGCTGGCTGATTGAGTGTGAGCTGTAAGCAGGGTATAAAGCAGACAGCAACAGAGCACAAGTCAGGTGTTGGTTTTACTAAGATATGAGAAGCAAACAAACAATTTACTTCCAGCGAGTGAATTTCAACAGATAATTAAAATGTGATGTGGATGAGGGAGGCCAATGTGGAAAAGATCTTAGCAGCTGTACCTGTGTCAAATGGTAATCTGGTTAGTTATCGCATGTATTTGGTTACAGGAACATCTTAGTCATCGAGCAAAAGCAAAGATCACAGAACAAGAGGGGCCAAAACAAACATGAACGCAAGTGTGTTTCATTTTCTGGAGTAAAGAAATAATAAAAATACTGATGGGAACAAAGGATGAGGTTTATCTCTGAAGTCACAGAGTTGTGTGAAACAATGGTGTGCTTGATGTTGCACAAACTGACGGCAGCCTAGTGTATTTATACATCCATATTAGTCAGGCTTGAGCTCTAGCCAGCAAGGCCCAGGGCTGGGAAACAAAGAGCAGCCACCAATAACACACATATGTACTAGTCCGCGCACACACACCGCAGCCATGATCTAACACTAAAGGGCCTCTTTGTTCGAGCTACAGCCAGCCTGGCTCACCATAACACAAAGTCCAGTACAGATGATAACAGCTCGCTCAGGCTCTTCAAAGGAAGAGACTAATTCAGTTCTTTGGGCCATACTGATGAACTGACTGGAAAAATGA